GGGGGAAAGTACAAAATCTGAGTAAACTTCATAAAATCATAGTACCTGTAAAAAATTAGGCAGATAAATGCCAGTGGTCAATTTTAGAACTACAAACATTCGGCATCATAAGTAATCTGCACTTAGATGCCATCTGTCAATAAAGAGTGAACTACTGAGCAGCGGCCCAGCTCCGGCCCGGCATCCGCCGGGCTGTCGGGGTCCCTGGGGAGCCGCCCGCCCTCAGATGTGTGGGAGGGGGTCCTGGTGGGCCTCGTCTTCTGCACCTGCAAAAAAAAAAAGAGTGAACTACTAGCATCTAATAGTGATACTGCAGGAGGAGCGCGATAGCGCTCCCAGCACTTTTGGGGAAAGACAGGAGGAGCGCAATCGCTGACACTCTGCAGGGGTGGGCAAACTTTTTGACTCGAGGGCCACAATGGGTTCTTAAACTGGACCGGAGGGCCGGAACAAAAGCATGGATGGAGTGTTTGTGTGAACTAATATAAATTCAAAGTAAACATCATTACATAAAAGGGTACGGTCTTTTTTTTCAATAGTTTTATTCATTTCAAATGGGCCAGATCCGGCCCGCGGGCCGTAGTTTGCCCATGGCTGCTCTAGAGGTTAAGTTTTCTACATCCTTAGTGATTTTTCACTACCGTTCTACCAAGGGCTGAGAGAGGTATGTTGAATTCTCTCACCATAATTCTGAATTTCTTCTTCTTTTTGGTTCTGAAACATGGGGCTCAGAGTGCAGATTCTTCCTGTGGGTCCTTGCCCTGTGAAGTTTGAAGAATAAACTCATGGACTAAAAGATTTCTTTAAGAAAAATGTAGAAGTTTATTGGAAGCATATACAAACTCCATCTAGGCAGGGGGGTCCCCAAAGGGCAAAAGTCTGCTTTCTCTCTCTCTCTAATGGGAAAAAAATCTAAATCCAAAATCTGTTTCTGCTGAGTCTTTTTGTCTCCTGGTTTATAAAGGCTGCAGTTCTTTGTCTGGTCTTAACCCTTCCTAATTGGACTCTTCCTTAATTTAGGAGTCCTGTGCTTTCCTCATTGGTCACTCTGCTACATAGTATTAGTTTCAAAGTCTAAAGCCCACATAGTGCCCCTCACTGCCTCTCCCCCTTACTTTGCAACATTGTCCATCTTATCTGTTCAGGTTGGAGTTGCTTTTGATCCCCCTTATGGCTCTCTCTCAGTTGTCCTGGTGGGAGATGTTTCATTACCCCTTATGGCTCTCTCGGCTGCTCAGGTCAGGGCTGCTATTGATCTACCATATGGCTATTTTAATTGTTTAGGCCAGCAATGCCTCCATCCTCCCTGGACACTCCCCTTCCTGTCTGCCTCATTAAGCTAGGTAGCTAACCCTTATCAGTTCCTATTGAATTTGCTTCATATATTTAGAAACTCCGGAATTAGCTACATGCATATTTAGTACTAGGGGCCCAATGCACAAATTCATGCACCTTGAAAGGAACTGTGAGCCGTGAGACTCTGGGGGGCATGGGTGGGTCTTGGCCCATCCTCCATGCCCTCTCCTGCCATGACCCCTGGTCCCTGTCTGCCGGCAGCCCTGCTCCCACCACCGCCATTCCCATGCGCTGATGGCGCCAGCCCCACTTGCACCCGCTGATGGCATGGAGCGATTTGGGCCGGTGTCAACAGCAGGTCTGAACAGTGACTGCCAGGCCCGATCACCCTTCAGGAGCAGGGGTAGGTGGAGAAGCCCTCAGGGGTGATCAGGGCCGGCAGCTGCCACTCGCACCCACTGATGGTGCCAAGCAATTGAGGCCAGCACTGGGTGCCGGCAGCAGGTGGGAGCAGGGCAAGTGCCAGGTGTGAGCGCCAGGCGGGAAGACAGTGCATGGAAGCAAAGAATTTTCAGTAACTACCAGAGGCTCGCCCTGATGACAGCATCCGGCACCCCACCTTGGTCTGGCACCCCTGCTCAGCTGCTCCACCATCCTCCACGGCCAATGCTCACCATGTTCCGCATGCGCCATGGCCAGCACACATCATAGTAACTGGTTGTTCAGTTGTTCCGCCATTTGATCTATTTGCATATTAGGGTTTTACATATATAGTTAGTCATTTTTGGTGATTTGATGCCTCTATGATTGTGAAATGTCATTTTTTTATCACTGGTAATATTCCTTTTCTAAAGTCCACTTTGATGTTATTTAGTACTAGGGGCCCAATGGTTATATTAATATAACCATTTCAACTTTCTTTTTTTCCTATTTACATGACATATCTTTTCTCATTCTTTGGCTTTCAAAGTAAGTAAATCTGTAAAGTGTTTCTTTTTTTTTTTAAAATGAATCTTTGTTCAGATTATTACAGATGTTCCTCTTTTTTCCCCCCATACCTCCCCTCCACCTGGTTCCCACCCCACCCCATGCCCTTACCCCCTGCCACTGTCCTCATCTATAGGTGTAAGATTTTTGTACAATCTCTTCCTTCACCCCTCACACCCTCTTCCCCCCGAAAATTGTCAGTCCACTCCCTTTCTATGCCCCTGCTTCTATTGTATTCACCAGTTTATTCTGTTCATCAGATATTTTTTATTGACTTAATTTTTATTTTATTTTA